AGAGAGAGAGAGAGAGAGAGAGAGAGAGAGAGAGAGAGAGAGAGAGAACATAAAAAAAAAAAATCCAGTTTATCCATAGGAGATTCTATACAGCTTCAGAGGTCACAGTAAAATCAGTGTGTAGACAGAGTGAAGAGGAGGTGTGTGTGTGTGTGTGTGTGTGTGTGTGTGTGTGTCCCCTGAATGTCATGGAGAGCATTCTGGAAGGAGCAATCCACTGGGGAGTAGAGGGGTTGTCATGAATGGAATGGAGGTGGTGTGTGCAGGTGGGGATGGTTAGCAGATGAGGCCATGGGCTGAAGATACTAAACTGATTTCATGCCTAGTTTTCTTTTTTCTTCTCCCCCCCCCCTCTTTTTTTCCTTTCCAAAAAGCCCACATGGATTTCTCACAGATGAGGTTGGGGGAAAAAAATACCCTGTACGAAGTCAAAATCAAAACAATTTTTTTAAAAAACAAAAACAAAAACCATCCCCAGCCACAAAAGAGCCCTTTTTCACGTTTGCATCCATATGCTCTCTCTTGTACTTGTTTTCTGTCCCCTCTCTCTCTCCTCTCCCCTCTTGCTGCTTTTGCCCTGATTCCCAACAGAGATCCGTAGTCGACGGAGGCAGGATTGAAGACTGTAGGTCATGCGTCTACAGTCAGTCAGTCGTTCATGCGAATAGGAGACTAAAGGAAGTCCCTTACAGAGATCGTGCTGTGAGCCTAGAGGAACATGTGCAGCGCTTCTGTAGCCCTCCGGTCCAGCTCTCCTCCTGTGTGCATGGCAGAGTGTGTGGAGTTCAGGGGTTGGGTGTTGAGGTGTGATCCTGAGAGACACAAAGAAAGAAGGAGTCACTTAGAATTTAAAGGTGCAACTCCCAGCAACAACTCCAAACACAGAGTTTTTTGCCGGCTACTCAGGTAGGGTCTGATTCAGGGAAAGTAGACTCCCCAAGCAAGGCAATGAGCAGTGAGCTGTTGTGCTTAGGGACTTTGAACTTCCCGGAATACTGTCCACCCTTCCCCGGGGAAGGCAGTCTCTCCGCACCACCCAAGTTTCCACTGGTTTCTTGCACAGTGGGTGAGTTTCCTGGGAAATCTGCATGGGGCAGGGAGGGTGCTGTGCTGCGTGCTCCCGAAGGGGTGCCTTAAGGCTCCCATACCTGTGCAGCCACCTGGGGAGAAATCACTCAGTAGATCGACTCTCCTCTCTGCTGAAGTTCTGCCCCCCTCCCCTAGACCTGTCCTGCACAAAGCCTTCCTGAGAACTGCAGCTGCTCCCGGCTCTGGAAGCTCTTCCCTGCTCATAGCTACTTTTCATTTAAGAGTCTACAAAGTATAGTGATTAGGAGTAGGAACTCCTCAGCCAGATTGCCCAGTTACTTGGTGCCTGACCTTGGTTAAGTTACTTACCTGCTCTGTGACTCAATTTCTTCAGCTGTAAAATGAGGACAGTAATAGGACCTACCTTATTAGATCATTGTGATGTTTAAAAGAACTAATAAATAAATAAATAAATTCCTTAGGACTGAGCATTGCATGCATGTAAACTTGTTATTGGGTTCTCTGGAAATGCTACTGTTATTGTTGTTCTTTGTTTTTGTTTTTCTTTTTTTTTGGGGGGGGGTGGTACCAGAAATTGAACCCAGGGGCTCTGAACCACTGAGCCACATCCCCAGCCTCCCCCAACCTTTTTAAATATTTTTTTAGTTGTTGTTGGACCTTTATTTTACTTATTTATATGTGGTGCTGAGAATTGAACCCAGTGCCTCTCGCATGCTAGGCAGGCACTTTACCTAGCCCTTTTTAATTTTTATTTTGAGATTAGGTCTCACTAAATTTCATAGAGCCTCACTAAGTTGTTGAGGCTGACCTCAAACTTGTGATCCTCCTGTCTCAGCCTCTTGAGCCATTGGGATTACAGGCCACCATGCCCTGCTGTTGACTTTTCTTTTAAACATCTGTGTTATTTCCCTGGCTGGATTATAAACACTTCAGGGGCAGGAGCCTCTACCTAGAGTTTCCTATAGTAAGCATTCTTTGAACAAGAGACAAAGTGAAATCTGGAGCTCAGGAAAGACCCATTTCTGGCTCAGGCCCTCGGCAGAGGAGAAAGTTAAAGCCTTGGAGATCACTGTGGTATAACTACCCATTTCATTTTTGGGTAAAGTGAGACTCAAGGGGAGCAGAGATAGGGCCAACTGGAGCAAGCAGCAGCACAGGGTGGGAGAGCACATGAGCTTCATCTCTGCAGCTGTTCCCCTGGGAAGGAATCACCCTTTCAAAACTTAGAAAACAGCTCCCTTCATTCTGTGTGGTTGTGCCAGCCTTGTTCCTTCTCTTATTTTCTCTCTGCACTGTAGCACCTGTCCCCACCCCTACCCAGTGCTTGTGGCTCTTTTTTCTCTCCCTTATACCCTAACTCTAATGTCCCTGCAGTGGCTGGCTATGAGGGTAGACTCATACCTCCTGCATACCTCCACTTTACCTCCCCCACTCCTCCTATCCAGACTACTGACTAATTTTAAACTTATTAAACTATTCTACTGTCAGCGTTAATGCAAGTCTTGCAGCCACATTGTCTGAATGTACAAGTATCCCCTAAAAAGAAAAACATCCAAAGGCAGTAGTCTCTTTCCTCCTTCAGCTTTGCAGAGAGCTCTACAAGGGAGAGTCAGGCCTGTACAGAGGGGTGCCAAGAACCACCAGAACCCTGCTCACGTTCCTGATAATGCAGAGGCTATAGAGTTGCTTCTACTCCACTCCTTCCAGCTGTCTGGCTCCACACAGTCCCTACAGCAGCACTGAAAACCCTAATACTTGGACCTAAATACAAAGAAAAACCCAACACCTGCTACTATCTGCCCCAAACAATCATGCCTTGACTAAACAGCAATTTTTCAGCTTCTACACACTGCCAGGAAACTCCCTCACCCTGCCAGGCCTCCAACGCAAAAGCCTTCCCAAGGTTGGGAGTGATGTGGGGGAATCAGAATGAGTGGCTTAGTCCATTAAGTTCTACCCTTTGAGGGAGGGGGTTCCACATTTTTAATTGAACTATAACCATAATTTGTCTCAGGTCACATTTTAGACACGAAGTTACAACAGTCTACTTCACTTCTAGGAAGTTTGGCAAAGAGAATTAAAAAAAGAGTCATAATAATTTAATATTCAATATAAATAAAAAATCACTTGAGCAACTTGAGAGACAGAATCCTGAGTTCTAGAATTATAATTCACCAGTACTGGGTGGGGCAGGACTCACAGATATCTTTTTTTTTTTTTTTTTTTTTTTTGCTGCTGCTGGGCTTAGTACCCAGGGCCTCATACATGTCAGGCAAGTGTTCTACCACTGAGCTACACCCCCAACCCCAAAACATATGTTTTAACAAGATTCTTGGATGACTGTAATACAGGGAAGTGGATGGCACTTTGAGAAAGAGCATAGTAGAACTTGCCAATTTATAAAGCCCTTTCATAAACATGAACTCATCCATCACCATAGACATCCTGGGAGGAAAAATATTGGCATTATTGCTTCTTTATAGATAAAGAACCTGAGGCTTAGGAAGGTCAATTGACTTGCCCTGAGGCATATTACAAATAAAATCCGCCATTGATTGAGTGCCAGAGTATGTTCTTATTTACTCTTTACATAGCTTTCCCCCTTATTTGTAAACCTTTGTATGTTATTGTTGTTTCATTTTATTGTTTTTTTTTGCAGGGTGTGTCTGGGGATCAAACCTAGGACCTTGTACATGATAAGCATATTCTACCACTCAACTGCATGTCCATCCTTGGAAATTTCCTCTTCTTCTTCCTCTAACTCATTTTCAGAAGGGACTATTTTCATCTTCTTTTGAGGAGTCTGAAACTCCAGGTAGTTAAATGACCTGTTTAAGGTAAACAGGAGGAGCCAGGCCTTGAATCTAGACTCCCAAACTCCAGTTTTCACTCTCTGAAACAAACAGAGCTGATTCACTATTCACTATCCACATGTTTGTAATCACTGAATTAGTGAATGCTGAACCATCGTTCTTAAAGGAAATACAAGCCTCTGGTCACATTTTCATTGACCAATAAACATATAACCCTATTTTATGTGGGATCTGTTCAAAGACACCTTATTTAATATATATGGCTGATTCATTCACACTGACCTCACCATCAATAGCACTATAACTGGTTTCTTCACGAAGTTTCTTACTCTCCTTCTGGTACAGGAGATTCAACCCAGGATTGCTCTACCACTGAGTTATATCCTCATCCCTTTTTATTTTTTTATTTTGAGATAGGGTCTTGCTAAGTTGCCCAGGCAGGCCTTCACCTTGTGATCTTCCTGCCTCAGCTTCCCAGGTCACTGGGATTATAGGTATGTGCCACTGCACCGGCTCCTGAAGCTTCTCTAAAATGTATTATCTCTGGAAGGCACATCACAGCCTCTTTGCATTTACAAACACTAGAAAGCCTTTTAGCATTGCCCTGGAAGAATATTTTAAAGAGGAAAGTCACCAAAAAACCCACAGAAATGCATCAAACATGGCACCAAATAGACCAATAAAAGGATGCTTGTTTGAACTGTGAGAGCTGAAATAAGGCAGAATTCTCCTTGCTCAGCCTCATCTGGGAATATGCATTGTCAGGCGTTTCAAACTTTTCTCCCTTCTGTGCCTTCCTGTGAATGACCACAGAAGAACAGTGAGAACTGGCTTTGGGTTACAAGTGAATTTTAGCAAGTAGGGGAATTTGAAAATGAACAAGGAGGATCTCCTGTACATCCTTGTGAGTGGGTGGTAGTAAATGTTAAGAATTAGAGCGCCTGCAGCCCTTTCACTATCTTCTCTGCAGCCTTTGCTCTCATTAGAAGGGTTCAGGATTTTATGTTGCCCCTTAGGCCCTTTGGGACACAGCCAGGAGCCTGCCTCCAAGCTCCCTCCCTTACCACTGTCACCCCTAATCCCAGGTATCCCCTTAGCCTTTTATTGGAAGAAGTCCCAGCATTGTCCTGGAGCCAGGCCCTACCATGTTCCTGACACCCATGCTCATGTAGTCTGATCCTTAATCACCTGTGATGGTGTTGGGTGTTGGTGGGTAGTGGGTTCAACCTCTTTGCAGATCATCTGTGGCAAATTAAACAATAAAAAATAATACTAGATTCCCTCCATCCCCCTAGCCCTCTTTCTGGGTTGCTTGTCTCCTGTTTAGGAACATTGGTAAAATCTGAGCCAAAAGGAAGCTCAAATTTAAAGTCATTACTGCAGCTACTATAAGAAAAATAAGGCAGAAGAGTGTACTTTTCCCCTTCACTCTCCTTTTAAAAAATTTGTGCACCTTTGATTAGTTCCAGGTCTGAATCTCAGCTAACCTCAGCCTTCGAAGCCAGGAGTGGGTGGGACCCCCGGCAATGCTGGGGTTAATGCTGTGACCTCCTTAAGCTGCTGAGGAGTCAGGTCTAATTTTATCCTCTCACTGGATCCGCCAGTCCTCTTTTTTGCCCAAGTGCTGAGATATGTCAGGAAGCCCCAAGTCAGCATTTCTGGTGGCTCAGGACACAGCGGGCCCCGCTTTTTGCAGAATGCAGAAAGCCAGCACCTGCTTGCTACTTGGCCCCAGAGCCAGGCCTTGGGGATTTGGATGGCAACAACCCAGTTAGTGCTGTGCTGGGGCCTCAATGCTTCCTCGCTCCCGGCCGACTCCCACCCCGATGCATCCTGTACTGAGCTGCCCCGAGCTGGGCACAATGAAGGGCCTCGGGGCAGCTCAGTACAGGATCCCTCAGGGAGGGCAGATCATCAGAGCTGGCCGCTGAAGCCCCCGGCACTGCACAGGCCCGCTGGAGACCCTCCCTGCACAGCACAGCACACACCCCTCCTTAGCGCCATTGCCCCATGCTCACCTTCACCATGCACCGGCACCCAGCTCCCAACCCCATGACCCTCCTGACTTTCCAGGGAGAACACCATCCACCCCTTGGGTCTGTTAACTTCAGCCCCTTCCTAGAAAGCAAGGGAGCAGCCTGGTTCACGAAACATCAAGGAGAACTGAAGCCTGGGTCCTGACAGAACTTCAGTTAGGTTCCAGGTTCTAGAGAGCTCTTTTGGGGAAAGCGTGTTGAAATATCACCGCCCAGAGTGTTTTTCCTGCACTCTCCACTGTCCTTGCCACCAACCCCTGGAACCCATTGCTTGGTTTCTAAGATAGTGTGACTACCTTAGATGGACAGAGTGCTTTTCACTCATAAAAGAGTCCTTTTGAAACTGTATAGGGGTTAGGGGTGTAGCTCAGTGGTAGAGCGCTTGCCTACCATGCAGGAGGCCCTGGGTTTGATTTCCAGCACCACCAAAACCAAAACCAAATTCTAAAAACCGCATTTGTACACTTCCTGAGAGATAGGTGCCTCTGTTTCCTTGAAGAGGAAACTGAGACTCAGAGACATAGTCACTAGGTTGGGCCTCAAGAGAGGCTGGGTAGAGTGAGCACCCTAGGAGAAAGGGATGCAGGCAAAAAATGAGCAGCAACTCCACTGAGGGCCAGGCCATGCAGAAAGGACGAGAAGGCTTCTGTTACCTCCCAAGAGGCTACTCCGAGGAGAGACTGGAGATCACTGTTTGCCCCTTTTCAGGCTGGCCCGCTTCACTATCTGAGCCCCCTTTCTGCCCTCTATAAGGTCCGGGTGCAGGCCACTCCCTCTCAGCTCCACCTGGAGACAGCAGCAGAGACAGAAAGCAAGACAGATCACACAGACAGATGAGAAAGGAAAACAAAAGCTAAGGAAGGAAAAGGGACAGTATGGAGCTGGTGGAACACCATTCATCAGGAAGAAGGTGACTGGAGGAACAGACGGTGCAGACTAGGCTGTGGCCGAGAGGCAGGCATCAGAGGAATTCCCTCCGAAGAGTGAGGGAGCCCCCAAAGCCCCCTCAGTACCTTGGCATGTTTTATAAAGTACTCAATATCGGCTTCCAGCTCACTAGGGTCCTCCAGGGGCCCCTCAACAATCACCTCCTGGTGCTCCTGGGTGTCATCAGCACCAGACGAGTCTATCTGCCGGACAACTTTGCGAACGATCTGGAAAAAAGAGGGAAGGGGGAAAGGGCTGGTCAAACCATGAAGACAAAGTGTGAGGAAAGACTCAGGAGAGAGATCTGAGGAATAAGGGGCCCTACCCAGAGGGGACAAGAAAAGGGAGCGGCCTCTTGCTGCCATTACTTTATGGAAAAACCCACCCTGGACAATGTCAGAAAAGCTAGAATTTATGGAGGGCTCTTGGCAGGTTTTGTTTTATGATCAAAGTCTTTCCACATGTAAAGTCTGTCTCAAGCCTACTGTGCTTCATTCTGCCTTTTGGCATCTGTAGAAGCCAAAAGCTGCCCATCCTCCTGTCAGTGCCCAAGGGCGGAGAACATTTTCTTTTTATCTACAATAATTCCATTCCACCCACCCAGTCCCTATTTGTTCATCCATCCAAACATTCAAATACCATTTACTCTGCATCTACTATGTGATCAGAGCAGGAGATGAAAACATAAAAGAACATGGACCCCGCCCAAAGGAAGGAGGAAAGACGGGGCAAGAGGTCTTGCTCCACCATAGTGCAAGCAGCGATCCTGAGACGCACATGCAAAATCCTCCCTGTTTTCTCTCCCCGGTTTCCCCTAGCTAGCATGGGGCCTGACACCCAACAGGCAAAACCACATCTAGTGAGTTAATATATGCTACCTACTCAGTGAATCTCCAGGTCCTTCTTATTAGAGGGGATGCCTGGTAGTCTGGGGACAGCACACTGCTCTATTTTAGAGGTTAAACATCAGGGACTAGGTTTGGACACAGAGGCTGTGATAAAAGCCACATCCAAACTGCTGGAGACCAAGAACACACACCTAAACCGCTCCTCCTGAGCGCTGGGGTGGCCCATAGCCATGCCTACCCTGTTGGTGTGGCCCGAGTTATGCTCTTCTGCCATTTAGCTTCTAGCCCCAACCAGCCTCTCCCCAACTCAGAGTATTCTCTGCACCCACCTTCTTGGTGACAATGTTGCCCTGCTCATCTGTGAATTGTTCCTCTGTCACCTGCTCCCCTGGAATATTCTGAAGCTCATTTCCCTGGAATAAGAGAAAGGGAAAATATAAAAGATTGATAAATGGAGGTTGAGGACATAAAAGAGCCGTGGCAGCAACAACACATCCAATAAATCCCCACCCTGGCAGGAAACTCCAGCTCAGCAAGTAGCCGCAGCCAAACCGAGGACTCCCAGCACAGGGGGGGCGCCCCCGTGGGGCCACAAGGACTGAAAACAGGATGGGCCCAGAGCTTGCAAGAGGTTGGTGTGCTTGATCTTTACAACAGCCCAGGAAGCCACCAAAATAGGGATGATTACGCAAGTTGGATGGAGGAAACCCTGAGGGAAGAAGTGGGTAATGCACTGTTTTATAATTTTTCCAGCACTCCACAGTCCAGAAGCCCTGCCACAGATCGCTAGCTACCCTGAGAGTGACTTGCCCGCAATTCCAAAGCTGGTTGGCAACAAGAACTGGATGAGAGAGAGAAGGCCCGAATCCCAGAGCTTTCTGGGCTGTCACCCCATGCTGGGTGCTGGGGAGAAGCCACACACAACTCTGGCTCCCAGTGTAGAATCCGATCCCCGGAGGCCTTCCTGGTCCTTCTCTTCCAACACATTTCCTGGTGCTTTCCCCCAGCTCCACACCATGCACAGCACAACAGTGTCCCCTCAGCCCTGGCCTCTGGTGCTCCCCTCAAGCTCCCATCCTGCCACCTGCCTGGCCATTACCTGCAGGAGGACCCGCCGCCGGACCACCCTGGTAGAGATGGTCTCCTCGTCGTCACTCAGGCCCTCGCTCTCCCCCAGCTCCTTGTCCAGCTCCTGGTGGATGTGCTTCAGCACAAAGCACAGGGAGCCCTTGACAATGTGCATCACATTCTGACAGCTGACCAGGAAAAAGCCCAGGAGCACTAGGGTGACCAGGAGTTGGGTGATGAAAGTCCACATCCTCACCTCCTCTCACCAGCCTGGCCCTCCAGGGACCAGGGAAACCGGGGCCCGGCTGCTGCAAGGATCCAGTCTCTCATTCTCCTCTTGGACTCACGAGTCCCCCAGAGACCCCTTCCATCCTCTCTCTCTCTCTCTCTCTCTCTCGTTTTCTCTTTGTCTCTTTCTATCTCTCCAAGCAGGAGACAGAATGGGCCTTCTCCCGATACACCAGCCGGCCTGAGTGCCCCTCCTGTGAGTAGCCCCGGGATCTGCCCTAACTCCACGGTGACGTCAGGCTTCTATAATTTTAGCTTCCCAAACCAGCTGCTGGAGCTGTCCAACTGGGCTAGAAGGAATCCGGCAGGTGCTGTGTCCTGGACACAGAAAGCACATGTCAAAGTCACTGAAGACCTGGAAGGGGGGCCTGCCCACTAGCCTTTCCAGCCTGCCTGTCCCTATGGAAACCAGAGGGAGTTCTGCCCTAGGAAAATTTCTCATTCAAGGATTCTATAAAATAAAATGTTCCAAGAATGTGGTTGCTCCTGTTTCTCCCTGGACTGCTACTGCAGTCATCAGAATGTCTGCCTGTGCTGGAGGCCGAGACCAGCTAATACCCTGGATAGTGAGGAAGGAGTTTATTTTAAAAATAGCCTCAAGGGGGAGTGATTTACTCAGGCCCAGCCAAATGAGCAGGGCAGAAGTCCAGTACAGGTGGTAGGGCCACCTGGAAGCCGATCTGTAATTCCTATGAGCCCCACAAGCCCTCAGTCCCCTCCTTTACAGGGCATGACAACCCTGAACTCCAGCATGGAACTGGTGTGTCTATTTAAGGCCTGTCCTTAAAGGCTCTTCCCGTGCTAGGACACTGACGCCCACTGAGCAGGAACCACGCGTATTACACTTGCGTGCACAGAGCTGATTCACAAATGAAGCCGCAGCAGCTGGGGCTGGAAGGAATTTCACTTTCTGGGTCAGGTTGTTCCCCTTTTAAGTAGCAGCCTGTTGGCAGAAAAAATAAAGACCCGGGACACCCTGCACTCACTTACTGTGGGGTCTTGGGAAATCTTCTCAGTGCCTAATTTTCCTTATTCATAAGCTGGAAATTAATGTGCTTTTCTTACTCCTTCTTAAAATTGCTGTGAGGACCACAGAGTTTATGAAGACTGTCACTCTGGATAATAGTGGCATAGATGTACCCCACTGTGCACTACTTTGCAGGCATTGTTCTGTGTGTTTCACACATTAACTCAGTTAAACCTTACCAATGGCCTATAGGTATGTGCTATAATTTCCCCGTTTTTATAAAAGAAACAGGCAAAGAGAATTTAAGTAACTTGCCTAAGTGAAAAAGTAAGTAAATGACGGAGTCAGATTTTAAACTCCTATCACCCCCAATATGACACCTCATTTCAACAAGATAATGTCGGGAAAAAACAAAAGCCCTTACTTAGCACATGCAAAGGAGTTGGTCATGGCACAACATGTAGTTTTAACAAGGCTAAGACAAATCCAGGAGCTGGGTTTTTTTTTGGGGGGGGGGGGGGGGGAATGTGGTAGAGACCTTGCCTGGGACGTGGGAGACTCTGGGTTCCATCCCTAACACCACATGCCAAAAAAGAGTCCAATTTCAGATATTTCCACTCAGATCCCAGAAGAATCAGCCAGGTTATATTCATTGCAGGCCCAACTCCCAAGCCCTATGTGACATGGCATATCTCTCTCTCTCCCTCTCTCTCTCTGTTTCTAGAAATTCAGTGGTAATACTAGTAAATGGGGGGAGCTTTAAAAATCATTGTCTTCAATGGGCCTCATTATCCTCTCTTGGGGTCTTGTCAGCTGATTATTGACACCTGATTACTGACTGGTCCACACATCCAGTCACTCTGAGGCTAGGGAGATGATAGGGTTCTCCATTTTCAGGTTGGGCATGGTGGCCCTGATCACTCCTTCTGGTCATAAGAATGTGAAACTAGGAACCAAGTGATTGGGAGTCTCTTGTCCCTGATGTTGGTTCACTGGGTGACCCTGGACAAAGCCCTGGGCCTCCAAGGTCTTTAATTTCTTTCTCTGTAATCCAGGGACTTGGGTGGACAACCTAGAAGCATTCTCTCTGTGATTCCTTGGGGCTGTCCTGCTTTCTCCTCTGCTCCCCAATTTTCCTCTCACTAAGGGATAACTGCAGAGGGGCAGTGGAAAAGAACACCCCGACACCTTTCTCTTTTCCTGGGGATCCAGAACAGACCCAATCAGGATCACCTGTGCTCTGGGAGGAGCAGGGGTAGATGCCAAGGAACAGCCTGATGGAAAAGAATGCACTGGGGTGGATTGAGGTTAAAAATGAACACAGCTGTCTGTCCTGCCCAAGTGCACATACTTGGCAGACAAGCTTTCTAAATAAAACCCTATTTAATTCCTAGCAGTTCTTTATAGCCAGCCGCTCACAATCATTGTAGAGTCAACCTAGTCCTGGAGTCCTCAAAGGTTTTCTGCCAAGGCTAAGGTTCAGGGAGTAAAAAGGGGGAGAGAAAGATAGAAATAGGAAGGACAGGCTGAGAAAACAGTTCCTGGATTAGGAAGTGGTGCTGGGTGAAAAGAGAAAGTGACCAAGATGCTCAGCACATAGCAGCTATATCCATATTAAAAATGCATACATACAGAATGGCAATGCAGTTTTATAAGGATATATAAATAAAAAAGACACATATTAGTAAGATGTCTCAGATTTGCTTCAAAATAATGTGTGGGGGGAGAGGATTGCGGTTCAGGTAAAATAAGACTGGCCATGAGTGAGTAACCATGGAAGGTGGGAAGAGGGAGGGAGGATTGGAGAAAAGAAAGGGAGAAAAATGCAGGGAAAATCCAAAGAGAGGATGAGAAGCACAAGAAAGGAAGGGAAGGAAGGAGGGAAGGAAGGAGGGAGGGAGACACCCAAGAAAGCAGGAGGAGCAGAGAAGTGAACCATCTCTACCTGACCACCTCCCAACCCATAAGCCACCCCAAAAAGACACAGGATTCCAGAGCTGGATGAGCTCTGTGATATTCCAATCAAGTCCTCATTTACCCAAGAGGACATGGAGGTGCTGAGAAGAGAATGGCTTGTGCATGGTCATACAGACCAGTCAGCCTAATGCCCAGTTCTCCTGTTTGGCTCTAAGCCCTTTCTAAAACACAATGGGCAACAAAAGCAGAGTAGAGTATAGGAAGGGGGCCAAGGGGAAGGAGGAAGGGAAAGAAAGAGGAGACACTGAGGGAAAAAATAGACCAAATTCTGTTACGTGCACGTGCAAGTTCATAACAACCAATTCCCCTGTTATGTATCATTATATACCAATTAAAACAACTTAGCATGACCAACAAAGAAAACTAACAAAACCCAAGGTATTGGGGTCACTAAAGGCTTAGCTCAAGCCCTCCTGGGCAAGTGAGGCCTTGGGCAAGCTGCCCAAACATTCTGATCATCATTGGCCAAAGGGGAATGAGCACCAGGCTGCCATGTTGTTGAGATGGATGACAACTACTCTGTGAGGCCACCCTTCCTCCAGTAGAGGTCAAGGAGGCAGAGAGGTGGACTGCAACCTTGAGTCCTTACTCTTAGAGAACGCAAGGTCTCCACTGCAATTTTTAAAGAAAGGACACAGCTTGCTGTTGACAGCCACAGCCAAGTCGGGGTTGCCTCAGGGCTTCTTTTCTGATGCTGGAAAAGAGCAAGGGGAGAAGGCTCCCTGTGGGCCTCACCTGCATCACCTGGGAGAAGATGCTCCCGGCCGCCTGCGACCACTCCGTGTGGCCCTGTTGGCTCTGTTCCCTGTCTGCCTGGGAGCTCCCCGCCTCTGGCTGTTCCATCCGCATGTGTTCATACTCCTGAGACCCGCTGGGCTCCAGCCCTCCGACAGTGGTGATGGTTCTCTGGAATGAGTGTGGGCCTTGCGTGACTTCCTCTTGCCAGGAGCTTTGGGCAGCATCTTGCAGGTATGTGACTATGGAGCCTTCTTTTTCCCAGTCGTGTGGTCTGGGGTCCAGGCCAGATGATTGATGTTCAGGGAGAAAGAAAGGACAACGGTCATCTTTCGGTCTGTGCTCTCCCAGATGATCCCCATCCCCATCTAAGGCTCATCCAGGGCACAGCCTATACTGTCTTCTACCTCTATGGAGAGCATGAGCAAGTCACTGAGCTGACCACTCTGGGGAGGAGGCACATGTGGCCTATTCCTGCCATCAGGTACAGAGGGCAACGGACACCAGAACAGTGGTCCCTCCTTTTAAGTTAAGTGCTCTCTTCTCTGGGCTCCTGAGGCACCTTGCTCGATGATGGTTCAGTTCCTGGGGTCTCCACAGCCATCATCTTGCATCCCCAGACTGTCTCCCACCCCACCCTCTAAGTCACTGGATAGTCCTTATCTGAAGGGTGATCACTCTCTCCCCTTCAAACATATCTTATGGCTTCCAGAATATCACATTTGCCTGGTCTCCCCCTCCCTCTAGTGCCACTCCTTCTTACTGGCCTTTGCTGGGTCCCCCTAACTTCCAGGACTTCTGAGTACTGGAGAGCATGGGGTTCCATTTGCAGATCTCATGGCTAGCTCTCTCTTTAAGGGAGCTTCTCCTGCTCATGGTGGGAAACCCTGTCCAGATGCTCATCATGCTCAGCTTGGAACCCTTTCTTGAACTTCAGATGTGTATTTAGACGTTCCTTCCCCACATCTCTACTCTGGCTCTCCAACAGGACCTCAAGGACAGCAGGATGGGATCCGCAATGAGGATCCAGCTCCACGCCCGTTCCACCCAGTTGTCCTCACTACAGTCCTGAGGTTATGAAGGACGAAGTCACCTTCATCCTTGCAGTTGCCAGTTGGAGGGAATCTGCCCTCCTTGTCTCCTTTCTCCCACACTCCACATCATATTAATCAGTGAGTCTTTGGAGTTCAACTCTCAAAATATAACCTAAACTCAACCATTTCTCACCACACCCTGATGCCTCTTGGTCCACGTCACCATCAACTCCTGCCTCCTAACTCTCCTCCCTACCCTCACCCTGGTCTCATCAAGCTCTTCAAGGCAATAGCCAGGGCATGCTACTTCTTCTGCTCAACGCCCTTCAGGGGCTCCCCATCCTACCCTGGAAAGGCCATTTTTCTTAGGACCTCAAGGCCCCACATGTTTGGCCTCATCACCCTGTTCACTCGGCCCCGAGGCTCTATGACCTTCTCAGTGTCCCCTGCATCTTACCAGGCATGCTCCAGGTCACAGCATGAGCACTAGCTAGGCCTTCTTATGGGCCTAAGACACACTCCCTTATTTCCTCTAAGTCTTAACTAAATGTCCCTCCCAAGGGGTTTCCTGGCCACCCTATCTATAATTTCAACCCTCTGCCTCTCCGTACAGATACCTATCTCCTAATTCCCTTCTCTTATTTTTCCTTTAGCACTTTCAGTATCCAACATTTCTATTTTCATTAAAGTCACCTTGATATCCAAGAAATCCATGAATGTTCAATGTTAGATAAAATGGCATAGTATTCAAATAGAACTTACACATATCCCTTTGCACATTTTAAATCATCTCAAGAATGCGTATACTACCTAATACAATGTAGATGTTATGTAAATAGTTGCTATGCTATATTGTTTAGGGAATGATTATAAGAAAAAAGTCTGCACATGTTCAGTACAGATGCATTTTTCCCTAATGTATTTGATCCATGATTGATTAAAACTATGGACTTGGAACCCATGAATATGAAGGCCAGTGGTACTTCTAATTTTATTTCCTTTTATCTTGTTTCTTGTCAATTTCCCCACTAGAACATAAGCTTCTTGCACAGACTTTTGTCTGATTTGTTCAATGCCATCTCATCAGAACTTAGCCACTTTTTTACAGGTGCCTGGTACACAGTAGGTGCTCTATAAACATTGTTAGTTTGAGTGAATGAAATTCACGTGTTGAAGTGGATGGATGACCAAGGTCACAGAACCTGGCAGTGATATAACAAGGCCTAGAATCCAGGTCTTCTGACTCCCTGTTCAGTACTCCTGCTGTTACAACAGGAAGTGGCCAGCACACAGGAAGCGTTCCATAAATGTGTGTGGAAAGAATGGCCATCCAAAATGCCAGCATTTTACTCTGAACACTCGGGCTCAGTCTATCCAATTCTCCACTCTCATGGAAGGATCAGTTTAGGAGACAAAATGAATTATTTGCTGTCTCATCTTTTAAATGGCTTTCTTTTCCCTCCCACTTGGGATGTGGTCAAGCCTACCTGAGTCTCTGAGGGGCCACGGAACAAGGTGGTGGGAAAAGGAAGTGAGAACAGTTTCCCCGTGGTCTGGCTATTCCTGAGCTCACGGGGTGGCCACAGCCTTCTTCTGGAAGCACAGGAACCATCTCCTTGCTTTAGGGAAAACTTATGGAGCAAAGCAACATGGAGGAAAGGGCCTTCATCCTTCTCTTCCTGTTCCAGTCCAGGGAGGCCAAAGCGATACCCAGATCATGCCTGCCTCTTCTCTCTCTGCCACCGCAAGGAACTCTCTCACCTCTGAGCCCTTTTCTGTACTTGGCAAAGTGGGGGGTTCCACTGCTAGAACAGCGAGAGTTCAAAGGTACACCGGCTCCCAGTGTCCGGAGGGCACGAGTTCTCTTGCCTGAACCTACTGGAGCTGCTTCCTTGCCCCTGGCACGGTGTCCTGCCTTCCCAGCACAGGATGCTTGGCAAGGAGAACCACCATTTCAGAGCCGTTGAAAGCTCTGTCCTGTCTAGATAAACCCATCAGTCTCTTTCTTTCAGAGGGGATAAGTAAAAAGGCCACCATTATCAGTGGAATCACATGCAGGCTGTGTGACTGCACACAAATAACTTCCCTGGGCCCCAGGGCTTCGAGGTGTCTAAATATGGCCTTCAACAGCAAACCCGCAGTGGTGAGAGGCATCCAGAGCACTGAGCTCCAGCAGCGCCCTGCAGTCATGGGTCTTCCCAAGTCTTAGGATCCACCTCCCACTCTCCCTTGTCCTGACACCTTTCAGGGTCTCTCCTTCTGGCCACACCCAGGGAGTGTCTTGGCAAGGAAGTGGCCTTTGCAGATCACAGCTCGATTTTCATGGACAGTGGCTTTGGGAAGCAAGCTGGTGCCCTGCTAAATGCTCCAGGGCATTTGAACATAGGGTCCAGGATAGTAGCAGCATTTAAGCATTCCCTCTGGGCTTACCGCCATGCACAACCTTACCCAGAAGCCCAGGAAGATGAAAGGGACCTCCGCCACCGCAGCGGCCCTTACCTGTCCTGGCTCCTCTCCAGCACCTGACTCACATGGGGCGAGTCTGTGATTCGGGCTTGCACCCTCTGCTGGCCTGAAACAAGAGACACTTCATTCTCTGAATCCTGCCCTGCACCTGTCGAGTCCTCCTGCCTCTTATAACCTGGCAGCTTCTCTTCTGACCTCTGACCTTCCTCCTGGTCAAGAATATCGATAAGGCCATTTGTGGCATCTGAATCCACTGTGTCGTCCTCCACAAGGTCCAGAGAGCCCAGCTCCGGGCCCCGCGGTTCCTCTGAGAGCGCCCCCTCCAACTTCCACTCGTGGCCGGTGGCATCAGAGTCCTCGGCCTTGCTGCACTCCAGAGAGGAGTCCTCAGCAGTGACCAGGGAGGGTGTGAGGCCTGCGGACCACACCTGCATGTCAGACATCTCCAACATGGTGTCATGCTCCGTGGCCGCCAAGGGGATGGCGTCTATGACGGCCACCTCGTTCCAGTACTGGTCTGCACGCAGCGGAGAGGGGAGCGCGTAGTGCAGGGAGGCAGGGGACAGCAGCTCGTCCTGCAGCGAGGAGTAACCTGGATGGGCAGACAGAGGGCGACATGCTCCAGAAGCGATTTTTGTCACACTCGCTTACGTGCAAATCCACACACACGCGCACACACAGGCACGGCCACGGAGATGCATGCGCGGGGCGGGGGGGGCTTTCCAAGCTCCAAGTCCAATGCTCAGGCCTTGTGGCTGATGCTTGGGACACTGGCAAGAGAAACAAGGCTCTGAGCTGGGTAGGGGGCAGCCAGGGATTGAGGACAGAAGGCGTGGCAGGCTCCTTTGCTGGATGGCAAAGAAAAGATATTGGAATTCTTTCACATCTAATTCAGAGCACTAGATAAAGAAGGCTTTATCCAAAGGACTTGTGCTCCCATCTGTTTCTGATCAGATGAAAAGGCCACTTCTCCTTGGCTGGGCAGGATTTAATGTTGTTCTTTGCTCAAAACTTCACGTTAGCACAGTCCTTAGGGTCCTGTTAGAAATGTACCTTAAAGGGAGGGTACAGCCCACCCAGGACCAGGGCCAGGAACCAGGCTGCCTTGGAGGGGTCTAATAGGGTACACTGAACATCCACAGACCTCAGTGCGGTGGTGAAATGGGAAACAGGCTTCTGGTTTGGCATGAAGTGACTTTTCCTCAAGATGCATATTGGTTCCAGAAACTCTGATCTACAGTGGCACAGGTGAGGGTTCTAAGGGTTCAAAAATGGGGGCAAGGTCAGAGGGCACCATGAGGCACCAGGTGCATCTGCCCCTAAGCTCCTCCTCCGCAGGCCCTGAGCTGCGCATCTAGTTCTGGGTCAGCAGTGACCTGGTGGGACTAGAACCAGCTAGCTCAGGCCCCCAAGTGCATGGCTCTGTAGTCACTACAGCTACTTCCCACACCTGTTTCTCACGGCCTGGCCTGGACATGAGTCTTTGACAGCATTCTGGCTGGCTTTGATAATGGCTCCTGATGTTCAGAAGTGACTACAAAACACAGTAAGCAGCACATCTACATGTGCAGGGAATTTGTGTGTGTGTGGGGGGGATGTCAGTGCTCTTTTGGGGGGTCTAGAGTGCTCCTCTATCCAGGGGTCAAAAGGACCTTGATTTCCCTTCAGAGCAGCTGCCTGTCAATCTGGGAGTCGGAGAAGAGACTAGAAGACAAGACTCCATTTGTCTCAGCTCATCCAGAAAGCCAGGGAGCAGGCGTGTGCCCAGAACCACTCAAGATGCAGCAGAACTGAAGGAGGTCCCTGCAGTGGGGAGAGATAAGCCTTGCAGAGTGTCTAGGGACCTTCCTTGTTGTTCAAAGTGACACTCCAGCCAAGCTTCCAAATCTTCAATCTGCCAGCCACTCCTCCCAAACCCACAACCAACAATCTTCCAGTTTAGACCTCTGTTCTATCTATCCTAACCAAGCGGGCTCCTCTTGTTTGTTCCGCCTCTGCTCTGGGTCACAGTGCCTGCCCTCCCCTTGCCTCTACTCTGACAGTACTACCTTTATTCATCTGCCTGCTCAACCCAACCATTCACCGATGTCCAATTACATGCGAGGTGCTAAGCTAGAGGCTTGAGGATTACAAACACAAACTCACACACATTGACAGGTTTTCTTTAACATATTTTCCCAAAATCTATAGTTCATCTTGGTTCTCCCATCTTTGAACCTATCCTGTGGCCCCTCACTGAGTTGGCCAAAGGAACTGTTAACCTATGAAGACAGGGATGATGTCTATCCTTTCCTCCCACTTGCCCAGAACAGGGTTGCGAAGCCACTGGTCCCATGATAATTGCAGAGTTCTCTGGATTTGTGAGGGAACCCTGCAGCCAGAACAGAAAGACCTCACTGCTGTTGAGTGAACCACCACTGCTAACATTTACCTGTGTGTCCAGTGTGACATGAGCCAGGCCATGTGCTTGACATGCTTTAATGCTCTTAAAATTCCCAGGAGAGTTTTCTTCCTGACTTATTTCTATGAATCTAGGTGGCTTCAAGTCCCAAAACTAAGGGAAAGGGGAGAGACCACAAGGGGTGGCTGGGGGTCAGTTGCACGGTGGCTCTGGCCAAACTGGGAGGAACAAAAACTTGGCAGTAGAGTAGGTGAAACAGGTAGGTCAAACCTTACCCTGTTATTAACTCCAGGTCACCATTTGTGAAACTGTGACCTGAGGAATTGGGAAACCAGGAGCAACAGCTTTCTGACACTTCGCAAACATGAGCAGAAAATTCTAGAGTTGTGTGATTGCTATTTTTCTTTTCTTTCTCACTAGAATTATTATTCTAATCCTATCATCTATTGTGCATTTCTTTAGTACAAACATATATAACATTATTTCTAATTATTACAACTCTACAAGGGAAGTAATAGTGTTTCTGCTTTATAGATGAGGAAACCAGAGGTTTTGCAACTTGCTTAAGATTACACAGCTAGTAAGTGCAATGCTTCTAGTAGATTTTGCCATTAATCTCTTTTCAACATAGCTTTACTGAGGTTATAGTTGAATGTAATAAATGCCTATGTTTGAAGTAGATACATTCTAACACATGAATGTGTCCATGAAGCCATCACCACAGTGAACAAAGAGGATGTACCATCCCAGAAGTCTTCCCATGCATCTCTCTAATCTCACCCTCCCTGGCTCCACCCATTCATTCCCTGGCAATCGCCAATCTGTTTTCCATCACCATTTGTTAGTTTGCTTCTCCTAGGATTTTATATAAATGGAATAAGAACTGTTCATACTCTTTTTTTTTGGTCTGATTTCTTTCATTCAGTCTAATCATTTGGGTTTCATCCATGCAGTTGTATCAATAATTCATCCATATTTGTTGCTGAGCCATCGCCCATTGGACGGATATACCAGAATTTGTATATCCTGCTAATGGACACTTGGGTTGCTTCCAGTTTAGGATATTACAAATAAAGCTGATAGTCTGTATAAATATATGACTTTCTTTTCTTTTGGACAAATACCTCAGAGTAGAATGGCTGGATTATAAGGTATGTATATGTTTAAAGTTTTAAAGAAAGAACCAATGTGTTTTTCAAAGTAGTTGTGTCATTTTATATTCCCAACAGCAGTATAAGAAAATTCTGGTTTCTCCATGTTGTCATTAACACTTGGCATGGTCAGCCTTTTTATTTTAATCATTCTTATAGGCGTATAATGGCATTTCATTGTAGTTAATTTTCTTTCTTCTTTCCTTCATCTCTCCCCTCTCTCCTTCCCTCCATTCTCCTCCTTCCTTCCTCTCTCCTCCCCTCCCCCTCTTCTTTCTTTCTTTTTGGGGTGCTGGGACATTTCTTGGTGGTGCTGGAGAATTTGTAGTGCTGGGGCAGCTAGGAAAGCATTCTACCACTGAGCTACCTCCCTGATCCTCCTTCTAGTTTTGTTTTCCCCAATGATTAATTATATTTTAGCATCTTCTCATGTGCTTCTTTGCCATCTGTATACATTCTGGGTTAAGTCTTCAAATCTTTTGTCCATTCTAAAACTTTAGTTGTTTTCTTATTAATGTGATTTTTTTGGGGGGAGGGTGGGCATAGAGATTGAACACAGGAGCATACTACTGAACTACATCTCCAGCCCTTTTTATTTTTAAGACAGGGTCTTGATAAGCTGCTGATGGTCTTGCTAAGTTGCTAAGGCTGGTCTCAAACTGAAGGTCTTCCTGCTTTAGCCTGCTGAGGAGCTGGGATTACAGGTATGTCCTAGCAGGCCTGGTTTATTATTGAGTTTTGAGAATTCTTTATGTGTTTAATTACTTGCCAATATTTTTTCCTAGTCTGTACCTTGTCTTTTCATTTTTTTACTAGTGTAGTTTGAAGAGAACCACATTTTAATCTTGATGAAATACAATTTACCGATTTTTTCTTCTATGGATTATACTTCTGGTGTCTTTATTTAAGAATTCTTTCACTTACCCATGATTCCTAGTTTTTTTCTTATGCTTTCTTTAGTAAGTTTTATAGTTTTAGTTTTACATTTAATCTATGATCCATTTTGAGTTAATTTGTAAGGTATAAACCTAAATTCATCTTAGTTTAAATTTTTGCATAAATGTTCATAAAAGTTATTGGCCTGTAATTTCTTTTTCTTGGAATGTCTTTTGTCTTTTTCAACATCAGGGGAATGTTTGCCTCACGGAATTAGCTACAAAGTACTATCTCCTTTTCAATTTTCTAAGTTATTTCTTCCTAAAATGTTTGGTAAAATTTACCAGAGAAGCCACAGGGGCTTGGAATTTTCTTCATTGAAATGTTTTAAACCATAAATTTAATTTCTTTCATTTATATAAGGCTACTGAGATGATTCATTTCTTCCCAGGGAAGTTTTGATAATCTGTATCTTTGAAGGAATTTATCAATTTCATCTGGGCTTTCAAATTTATGACACAAAACTGTCATAAGCCCTTTACTAATCCTTTTGCTACCTGTAGAATCTGTAATAACATCACCTCTCTTATTCTAGGCATTGGAAAATTTTGTCTTCTCTTTTTTTCTGATCAATTTGGCTGAAAATTTATCAATTTTACTGATCTTTTCAGAGCACCAGGTTTTGGTGTCATAGATTTTCTCTGGAGTTTTCCTTTGGATTTCACTGATTTACACATCTTAATTATTCCCTGCCTTCTCCTTACTTTGGGTTTAATTTGCTTCTTCTTTTCTCATTTCTTAAGGTGGAAGGTGAGGTCATTAATTAGAGAACTTTTCTCTTTCCTAATGTGGACATTTAGTTACATAAATTTCCCCCTAAGCACTATTTTTGTGACATCCCATATATTTTGATATCTTGTGTTTTTATTTTCATTTGATTCAAAATATTTTCTAATTTCCCTTTTGCTTTATTCTTTGATTTATGGATTATTTAGATGTATATTATTTAGCTTCTACAATTAAAAGCATAAAAAAAGAGCCCACAGAATGAGTACAAATCTTTGCCAGCCACTCTTCTGACAATGAATTAATATCCAGAATACATAAAGAACTCAAAAAACTTAATACTAAGTTGGGCACAGAGGTGCACGCCTGTAATCTCAG